AAGTGCTGGGATTACAGGCTTCAGCCACCGCGCCCGGCCTTTTTGTATTTTTTTAAGACAGAGTATTCCTCTGTCACCCAGGCTGGAGTGCAGTGGTGTGATCTCTACTCACTGCAACCTCCTCCTCCTCCTGGGTTCAAGGGATTTTCCTGCTTCAGCCTCCCGGGTAGCTGGGATTACAGGCGCGCACCACCGCGCTGGCTAATTTTTGTATTTTTAGTAGAGACGGGGTTTCACCAAGTTGGCCAGGCTGGTCTCGAACTTCCCTGTGAGAATGATACTCCCATGAAAAGTTAAGAAACAGGAAAACAGGCTTGTGCTAATATCTATGGTAGTTGTAAACAAAAGCTCTGACTGGACTCCATTGTGCCCAAACGTACTATGTTCACGGGGCAGTCATCTGATAATTTTTTTCTTTTTGAGACAGAGTCTCGCTCTGTTGCCCAGGCTGGAGTGCATGGCCAGATATCGGCTCACTGCAACTCCACCTCCCGGGTTCAAGCGATTCTCCTGCCGCAGCCTCCGGAGTAGCTGGGATTACAGGCGTCTGCCACCACGACAGGTTAATTTTTATATTTTTAGCAGAGACGTTTCTTCATAGTGGCCAGACTGGTCTCGAACTCCTGACCTCAGGGGCTCCACCCGCATCAGGATCCCAAGGTGCTGGGATTACAGACGTGAGCCACCGTGCCCGGCCGAGAATTGTATGAAATAAGGAATGGCTAAACGTAATTATTACCAAGTTTTTTCTGCTCCTTCAACTTGCAACAGCAAGTTTTAATTTCAGTGCCTAGAACAGCAGTAACTGGCACGTAGTAGGCGCTCCGTGAACAGCAGGAGGATTAAGTGATCGCGGTCTCCCTGAACAACTGCGATTGCACCACAACATAGTCAAAACACAAAAAGTCAAAATATAAAAGTTCCTAGTACAAGTCCGTGGAGCCAGGGCTTCACACAAATACATGTCGTGTACTACACATTAATATATATATGCACATTCAATATTTTGTTCTTCCGGCGTTAACGGCTAATGGAGGCAAATCTTTATGCCTTTGGTTAAGGCCTAAAACTGCATTTTAAGGAAGTTCCGAGCGCAGGATCGGAGGGGCGGGTCTAAGAAAACAATTCCCGGCCCGCGCCGCCCGCAAGTACACGCTACCGCTGACCGCGCAGACGCAGGAAGGGGCGGGGCGGAGCGGAGAGACCATTCGCGGGATTCTAGAGGCCCCGCCCCTCGTCTGCGTCGGGTGGTCACGTGGTCGTCCCGAGCTGGCGGGAGGAGTTGGGAGAGCTTTACTGCAGCGACCGTCAGACACTCCAGTGACCGTGGGGATCAGCGTAGGTGAGCTGCGGCCTTTTTCGGGGTGCCGCTGCCACAGCTACCTGCGTTCGTTACGAGGATTGAACGTCTCCACCCGTAAGTGTGAAAGAGGTGGCAGGAGGTGGGTGGGCAGGGGCGCAAAGCGCACGGCCCCTAGAAGACTCGCCTTCGCTCCTGCCAGCCGCTGAAGCAGCGTCCTCCTCTGACAGCTGCGGGGCCACGGCAGGGGTAAGGGCCAAGGGGCTGTTGAATGGTCGCGGGAGCCGGAGCGGGGTGGGGAGGTGACTCGACGGACTGCCTCATTGGCTGGGTCGGTTTTGGCGCGCTCTCATTTCCGCGCTCCCGATTGGTTGGTGGGCGCCGTTCCCGAGGCGCGCGCCGCGATTGGTAGGCTCGGGCGCGCGGGACCACACCGCCCGCCCCCTTGCCCGGCGCTCCGGGACTAGCTGGCTGGGTCCGGGCTTAGGGACTCAGCGTGGGCGTGCTTGGCTGAGGGGATGAGGCGGAACATCCCATCCTCTTGGCAGTTAAGTGGTTGGTTCTTATCTGAGGGATCTACAGATTTGGCTCTTGGGAAAAGGTCGCTGAGTCCTGCGTGTCCCATTGAACGGACACCGGCTTTGTTGATACGGGTTTCACATGGACCCTGTCGTATGCCAGGGTTTTTAATGCAGCTGTTAAAGGAGCCAGAGAATAACGGGCAAGTAAGGGTGCAGGGTTGCTGTCGGGTGTGGGATTAGACTTATTTGGTCAGGGCTTTTCAGCTTTTTTCGTACTAAAGTACGTTTTATGTCGCAACCGTCTAACCAAATGAGACGTAGATCGAAGCAGCATTTCTCGTCTCTTGAGTTCCATTCTGTTCAGTCGCATGTTTCTAAGCAGTGTTGCTCACGACTCACTCAGCAATTTCGAGATCACGGCCCAGGGCCCGCGACCCGCAGTTTGAAAAACATTGCCCGGGGCCTGTTTACTGGGGCCCAACCAGCATTTTCTTAACGTGAAATAAAGTAGAAAATAGCAGGATGCCCCGTACAAATTAGATTGTTTGGTTTCCTACGATTTTTTTTTTGGTTGGTTTGTTTTTGAGTGGGAATCTCGCTCTGTCACCCAGGCTGGGGTGCAGTGGTGGGGTCTCGGCTCACTGCAACCTCCACCTCCCGGGTTCAAGCGATTCTCCTGCGACAGCCTCCCGAGTAGCTGGGACTACAGGCAAACACCTACACGTGGCCAATTTTTGTATTTTTAGTAGAGGCGGAGTTTCACCGTGTTGGGTAGGCTGGTTTCGAACTCCTGACCTCAGGTGGTGCGCCCGCCTCGGCCTCCCAAAGTGCTGGGATTACAGATGTGAGCCACGACGCCCGGCCTTTCCTAAGCTTTTTTGTTTGTATATGTGTGTGCGTACGCCAGGGCACCACGTAAAATGTATTAATGTTAGAAAAGCCACTGCACTGAGTAAAGGCATGGCCACAGCTATTCGGGAGCTCTGTTGGCGAGGCACAGGCACAGGCACAGGCACAGACACGGCGGGGGCCAGGGGGTTGTGCGCCTTGGAGGAGCGGTTCAGATGCTGAGTTTGTTGTGAGTTTGGTCCGGTGGTCTAGTTAACGACATTACATACACTGTATCCCTTTTTATCTTTTTCCTTCTTCCTTGCTTGTTAGTCCTTCAGTTCATGTTGGTGGTTAAACGTTTCCTACGAATGTAAATGCATGATCTCACCTGACCAGGTATTAAGTCAGTATTAAGTTATTGTCAGAGCCGAGTTTGTTATACCTTAAATTTGTCTTTGAAGCAGGGTTGTTAAGATGCTGCTCTGTAGGGTGGACCTGGGCACACCCAAATATCTGGGTTTTTTTTTTTTTTTTTTTTGCTATTTCTGGTTACTATTTCTCAGGACTTTGAGAGCCCTGTATTTAATCTAGGACATGTTTAGAAATTTTAAACCAATTTTTAAAATTTGTTTAAAATATATTAGTTTCATTTTTTTCAGACATAATTATGTGCATATATATATATAATTAGATATCAAGAGTCATTAACATTAGTCACCTTAGTCATCAACAGGGCTGAGTTTGGATTAAGTGAGAAAAAAATAATAGTTCTACTGTACAATAGTATGATTTTTATGATTGTATTTTAAACAAACCTAGACTTCACCTTCAGCGTTGCAAACCATATTGTTTTTTAATTGCTAGTATTCTGTGCTTCACCGTCTACACAATGAATCCCAGTATGAAGCAGAAACAAGAAGAAATCAAAGAGAATATTAAGGTATGTGATTGAATAACTTTAATTTTTTTTGTAGAAAGCATGGGGTTAAAAGTATTTTGATATCATTTAGCCAAATTTTGCCTGGCTATAATTTCTGGAAGCCTTGAGTAGTCAGAGGATGAGTAACAATAGAGAACGTTTTAAAAAAATTAATTATGGTTGAATACTAAGTCTGACTCAAGAATATGAAATGTCTCTTCTTTTGGTCTTTTGACAGTATTTTGTAGTTTTCAAAGCATGAATTTTACACTGTATATATGTTAAATTTTTCCCTAAGTATTCTTTTTGAGGTTATTGTGAATATGTTTCTTTAATTTCATTCTCATTTGATCATTGCTACTGTATAGAAAAATAATTGACTTTTGTATCTTGATTTTGTGTCCTGAAACCTTACTGAAGTCGTTTATTAGTTCTAATTGTCTTTTAGTAGATTCTTCAGGATTTTCTTTTCTTTTTGTATTATCTCTGTGAAGATTCCAAAAGTATTTTTAGGATTTTTATGTATAAGATTATTACTGCTTTGTTTCTGTGCTTGTATTTCGTGAAATGATTTTATTAAAATCCCTTGTGTGTATCTTCAGAATTAAATGTCTTTGACTACAGACGTGTTTTGCATTATATTGCACATTTTTCGAAAGTGTACCATTTTTGGCCGGGCATGGTGGCTCACGCCTGTAATCCTAGCACTTTGGGAGGCCGAGGTGGGTAGATCACCTGAGGTCAGGAGTTCAAGACCAGCCTGGCCATCATGGTGAAAATCCATCTTTAAAAAAAAAAAGAGAGAGAGAGTATACTATATTCATTACCATCTACCCTATTGGATTTGCAGTACTATTAGAATCCCTATATGGTACTCTCACTGGAAATCTTATTCCAAGTATTTATTCTTATGACAACAGGACAGAATTTCTTTAGTTATGAGTTTGTAATTTTGACTAGGCTCATATGTATGGTTCTAAATGAATTTACAGTTTAACTAGGTCCTTCCACACAACTTAAACTATATGAATACCCTGGGAATTGGACCACATCTTCAGGAAAACTATCAATTTGTGGGTTTAAATTAAATAAAGAACCAGATGCCCATGGTAGCTCAAGCCTGTGATCCCAGCTGCTTGGGAGGCTGAAGTAGGGGGATTGATTGAGCTCAGAAATTTGAGACCAGCCTGGGCAACAAAGGGAGACCCTGTTTCTAAAAAACCATAATTAGCTGGGTATGGTGGCACCCACTTGAAATCCCAGCTACTAGGGAGGCTGAGGTGGGAGGAATTGCTTAAGCTTAGTAGTTTCGGCTTGGGAAAGTTATGATTGCTTCACTGTATTCCAGCCTGGGTGACAGAGTAAGACCCTGTATCTAAAAAAAAAAAAAAAAAAATTAATTAAATTTTAAACTAAATCGAGTACTTAAAGGCCTTTATAAGTATAAGCAAGTACCTTTTGATGGGTTATTTATTTGCCTTGCTTTTCTTAGGATTCTTACGTTATTTTTCTTGAATAATAGATCACATTGACAGTTGGTAAATTTGATTCCATTAGCTTCCATTTAGGATGATGACATCTTCCCACTGTGCTTTGGGTGTGATTGTTTATAATTTTTGTTATGAAATTTTTGAAATATTTAGAAGTAGAGTCAGTATTACAATAATTTACTTCCCCGACTTCAGCAATTAACACTATATGGCCAATCTGGTTTCATCTATGTCCTTATTTACTCCACCTTTCCCTCAATGAATTATTTTGAAGCAAATCACAGCCAAATAATTTATATACTTCCAGCAGATTACATTTTTAAAAAGTCTTGTGTTTACTAGCTATGATAAAACTCTCTTGAATATAAAGGTACTAGGTTCTGTTTGATTTTGGCTCTACCTCCAAAACTGAGACCTTGGGTGGGTTAGTTAGCATTTCAGCCTCTGGTTACTTATCTGTACATTGAGGAACTAGACTAGAACTAGATCTTTGCGAGTTGTATGCAAAATTCAGTGTGAATGTGCTTTTATATGAATTTTTTAGGGGGAGAGGATTCACAGAATATTAAACAGTTTTCCAAAAAGATTAAGACCCATTAACATACAGGAAACTTTTTGGCTTTAAGAGTCTATTATTTCGGCCAGGCGCGTTGGCTGACTCCTGTAATCCCAGCACTTTGGGAGGCCGAGGCAGACTGATCACGAGGTCAGGAGATCAAGACTATCCTGGCCAACATGGTGAAATCCTGTCTCTACTTAAAAAAAAAAAGTCTATTATTCCAATGTATAATATATATACAGAAAGTAATAATAGTAATATTACATTGTTTTAGGCCAAAGTCTATAAAGCTTATATAAATAGAAGTTAAATCTTGGAAAGGGTCTTTTTTTTTTTGTGGCAGTAACTTAGCTGGCTTCTTTGACCATTATTAACAGCAAGTATTTAAATTAACACCTCTTATTATTAAGGTTCCAGCGTTACATTTTCTTTTATTTGTCTGGAGACTGTTGACTAATCTATAATCTAAATTATATGTGAAATGTTGGTGTAATATTTGTTCTCACAGTAGCTGGCATTTGTCCTTCAGTTAAATGGTGAGATAATAATCAGCAGTAGAAACTTTACCGTGGGAAAGGTGAACTCTTGTCATGTGAAGTACTGTGTGATATCAGTAACTTTCTCACGCTGGTATGGTATCATGTTCTTGTAACCTTGTTTAAGTATTCACCATTGTTTGCTATCCCATGGTGGCAGTATAACTAATGATATTTTGCGAAAATAAGAGAGAGCTTTCAGATCATGACATATAAAGGAAGTAATTTACATATTATAAGGAAGGCAATATTTTCATCAAAACAATACTTTTTGGGCATTTTAGAGTGAGTATTTTAGTATGCCTCAGGCACTGACATTTTAGCCACCTTCTAATGAATGGGCTTGAAGCAGAACTGCTTCTGCTATCAGGTAATGCTTGAGGGGGGATGTCTATTACACATGTACTTTGTTTTGTGTAAAGTATATTCTGGAAAATTATGTGCTTTTAGTGAGTACTTGTAAGTATTCAGGGGATAGTCATGATTTAAAGAGGTCTGATTTTGATTAGGGGAAGACATATTTTGCAGTGTAAATGATTTTTTCTCCCAGTTTACCAGTTTTGTGAATTCATACCATAAAGGTTACAATGTTTGGTTTTATAAAAGAGTACCTGTAAGATTTTAGTTTTTGTGTGGATGATTTTACAAAGAGCTGAGGAATTTTGTTACATGTGTTTTAACTAGCTATGATTAACAAAATGACCACAGCAAGAGCATACATTGAAATGAGAGAAGTTACTTGTATTTGTGTCTAGTTTGGGTAATATGATTCATTCTTTTTTTTTTTTTTTTTTTTTTTTTT